TGTGTGTGTGTTTGTTCGTGTGTGTGTGTGTGTGTTTGTGTTGTGTGTGTGTGTGTGTGTTTGTGTGTGTGTTGCATATATATATGTATATGCGTATATTTGTGGGGAGCACCTCCGAACTTCAGTTTATCGTACAGAGTACGAATACATAATATTTGTCGCAAAGATTTTATCGAGAACTTTTGAAATAAGTCTTTGTCGTGAATTTTTACTATTTATTTCAATCAATTAAAAATTTAAATTACTTTGCAGTTCACTCATCAAGGTACAGTATGTATGAGGGAACGCTCGTGTTATGCATATATTGTTGAAACAAATAGAACGTTCGAGTGCCAAACTACACAAGAATTGACTGTACACTGACTTCTGTATAACATACTATAAGGGCAGATACATGCATAACACCAAAAGTTAGTCTGAAATAGGTTATATTCAACAGTAATTTCTGTACATTCGATCGTGTTTTATAGCCGCGTCTTTGTTGCATGATCTTTTGGGTGTTAGTGAAAGGGGTACTCGTTCTCCCGTGATTTTCTGCATACTTACTTAGATTTCCGTACATACATGTGGCATCAGAAATGGGCACTTGGTGTTTTGTGTACTTCTACATACATTTGAATACAGGTGACGGCGCATTCTCGTTTCGTATATTCACTTCTCTCACATATTGGTGGCCAGATCTTGGATAGAGGCGAAATCAAATGTCAATATCATGGCTACGTGCAGGTTCTAATAACCCTATCATTGTTACCACTTATGCACGTATAATTATCATCTTGAATGATGTTATAGTCGCTTTCCGCCTTGATTTCACTCTTTGTGTATGGTGTAGGTCTGAACTGACTCGTACGTTGCAATCTCTTGTTCATGTGTATGTGCTATCATATAAAATAGCATATCCGCCACCTCATGCGGTCAGAAACATTCTGCCTCTAGCACCTCAATATATCTACCTACACACATACTGAAACAATTGCCATCCCGAATACTCATCCTTGTATCAGAGATTAATTTTCTTTCTTTCTGGCACTCCCTTTGATATCACTAGAGGCAGCTCGTCTCGGTCTGAGCTCAAGCCCGCCACCAAACGCCCAGTCGGCAGTGATTGGTCCAAATCGCGCGAGAATCGAAATGAGGAGCGCAGAGCCAAGGCCGCGGAAAGAGGTTTGTATCGCACTATTTAACTTTATCCTGTTCTTATTTACGTGGATTGTTTGAATAGGTTTTTCATCGTACGTAGTGTTAGACTGGTTGGCTACGTCTAGTGCATTTCCCTCGTGTGAGTTGATTGTTGAAATAGGGCTCTACGCAGTAGTATAAGACTGCCTGACTATAACTGGTCGGGATAAGCACATATTGCTGCAGTATGGGGCATTTCGATGATATCCCGTGTGTTGGGCGATTGTGAGCAGAAGCGTTCATTTGATTGTGACGGATATGAATCCGTTCAGTTATTCTGAACAACGTGCTTTGTGGCTAATCTCTACACTGTTCTATGGAATATAACTCATGCCAACTACATATATACTGCCGTCCTATTAGTATATCAACGAATCGTCTCCGGTATCTCACTATGTGTGCATGTTCCTTTTGTCAACAACTTGCTGTATTTGATGTGCCTGAAAGGGTGGCATACACACACCACGGAAAGCACCAGCGTCTTTTGATTGGCTGTTCACTTCTAGCACATACGAGGTGAATGCAGAATCGAAGCAGTGTACATATTAACAATTTCTGAACTGGAGCTAAGTGTTCGAAATATCGCATACATAGACATCTTTCAATTTCAATCCCACTTATAAACCAAAAAACAGAGTGCATCCAACCATAGATCTCCCACTGCCATTATATCTGTCACTTGACGACACACACCACACCTGTTCTTTATATCTGTCACTTGACGAAACACACCACACCTGTTCTGATTTCGCCACAGAGCGCGCACGCCGAGAAAACAAAGAGCAGCGACGAGCACAGGCCCTCAGTGAAACCACTCCACAGGCAACCACTGTATCCAACACCCGCATACCTGTACCAGCCGATACCACATGCGATGCTATCAGCGACTTTGGCGATGAAGACGACTGGTTCCAACCCGCCGCAGCTCAACCAGCGACCATGCCCAACACACACAAGTCCCGTAGGGATGTAAGAGGCTCACCCAAACCTCAGGCGAAAGAGAAAGACTCGCCTCGGGTGACGAAGGTGTGTTACTTGTTGTTTGATAAGGTGTAGTGCATGTAGGAGAGTTCAATTTATATCAGGCCGAATACAGACTTTGTGGTGGTGGCATGCAAACGTTCAGGTATTCTATATTTCATGTACTTGTTCTTGTACGTGTACATGCTTATTCACCGGTCTAATACGTATTCTCATATTCCGTGTAGCTGCAGGCACAGGATGCCCAAACAAATACCCCAGCGGAACCAGCAGATGCCATGAGTGACGGGGGGCAGACTGACCAGAATTGGGACAACCAACCCGAGAGCGTAGGAGCGTATGCGGAGCACACGGAAGACGCGTACACAGATGAACACCAGACACATCAAGATCACACAACTCTAACACCCGACAATCGTCTGCAGCAGATGGATGCGCTGGGCTATCAGGACAGGCAGGCGGTGCCACAGGCATACAGGAACGTGACAAGCACAAGGGACGGTGAGAACCAAGGGTATGGTATGGGCGAGGACTATGGTGATGTGCAGGGAGATGATATGTATGACGAAGACAAGGCAGTGCAAACGAAGGACACGGACAGTGCCCAGACGACAGCCTATAATAGCGGAGCACCAGCAGACAACGAAGAGGATGGCAGCGACTTCTCAGATGGCTGGGCTGATCGTACGAAAGAAAGAGGTGGACAGGACGCGGACACATACTCACATGAGCTACCCTTGCCGAACGAAGAGATTGAAGCTGGTTACGACGAAGACATCAACACAAAATCATCTGCAGAGTCGTACGGAACCACACCTGCAGATGATTGCGTAGAGGAAGCGGTGGAGGGGGCACAGATAACCGGAGACGGGCCGGAGGCGGAGGAAAGCGCTGACCAGTGGGGTGCAAGTGACTCTTATACTGGGAGTGGTTTTGATCCGGCAGGTGATGGGGGCGATGGTATTAGCGTGTATGAGGAGATGCCTACGGATGTGGGGCAGGACCAGCAAGCGAGAGATAGCCAGGAGACAGCAGATGGTAGCGATGATGCGTCAGGGCATGCAGAGAGTGTCAACGATGCACTAGATCGACCACTTCAAAGGGTGGACGGTGATATGAACCATGTTGACACCAAAGACCAGACTGGCAGTCAAGATAGCTTGCAGGACGCTTATGCAGAAGACGTGCACAGCAACTCAGTGAGCAACTCGGTGAGCAACTCGGTGAGCTATGTGGACGAAACTGAAAGTATTGCGTACAAAGCACAGTGGTCCCGCGGGGATACGCCTCAGGCGCTGTCAGACGAGGGCTGGGAGCAGATAGAGGGGGTCACCACCACCAGCAGTGAGCAAGGGGAACTGATTGGCCTGAGTGATGCTACCCCGGATGTCCCGGAGGGTGAGGTTGTCGATAGACCATTCGTGTCGGAGGAGAGTATTGCGTCTGTGGATGCCGCTGAGGATGCCAGTGCGGTACTTAGCGTGGGGGTGGAGGCGACACGGTCAGAGACTATGGATATGGATGCGAGAGGACAGGCAGTGGCAGAGGCAATGGATGGGAGTCAGTTCAATAGGGCTCTGTCTGATGCGCAAGAGATGGGCAGTGCTCCAGAGGGCTTTGATACGTACACTGATGCCCACCAACAGAACGAGTATGCACAGGCACCGGTTGCAGAGGACTACTACCAGGATGACGGGGTGCACCACGAAGACGCTACTGCTCACGGAGAGGGCAGTCTACAGGACAGGACAATCACGGTACAGGAACGGATGAGTGGCGATATAAACCAGCAGCAGGACTACACGCCACAGGAAGTCAACGATTATGATGGTTCAGAGGCGGACTTTGGTGAAGAGGATTTCCTGAGTGCGAAAGGTATGAGTGTGCGCATCCTCTGAGCTTGTAGGTAGGTAGGTAGGTACCGAATCCCGCACAGCAGTCAAGCACTTTGTGGTCACTGATTAGAAGCACTTGATAATTTTTGTACTGTCTTTCCCCTTTCCCCCCCCCCCCCCCATATGTAGGGGTGTAAATCCTGTGAGGCGGAAATATATATGTGCTGGATTTTGATTCTGAAAATAGTGAAAAAAAATTGATAGCACTGTGGGCTTTAAACAATCAAACATTCTGCAACACCTTGAAGACCAACGAATATTGAGCTTAAGGCCAAGGTTATTCACTGGGTCATCGATTATCTCAGTTGTATTTTCGGCGACAGTACCAACATTCATAAAACCGACCGAGCTTAGCTCACCCCCCTTCGGGGTAATTATTTATATAGTTATTTTTGTTTTCTTGTTTTTGTTTTTTTGTACGTTAATACGACCGCGTTCAGGGTTTCAGGCATTAGGGTTCTTAGGGTTGTGGCCGTCATGTGTACACTGCAATTGCTCATCTTGCAATCCGCATTGTGACTTGTTGAGACCATCTCGGCGCTTGTTTTGATACCGTGGCAAGGCTGAAGAGTACCCACTCCGAGAATTATATTTTTGTTCGTGAGAACTGTTTTTGCTGGTCATGTCATTGTCGCTGCGTTCTTCTCTCAAAAAAACTCAACTTAACGCGCAAGCGGAAAGGCACGCGTGCTATCAACAGGAATTGTGTTAGAATTCTACATACAAATTCCCAAAGTATGGCTCATGAAACATTT